TATATATATAATATAAGATTCTTTGTTTTTGTCCTGCAGGTGTACAAGAAATAAACGTGTATTTTTGCTACCAAAAAGGTGAGTACTTGTACATGAGAGCAGAATAATAATAAAATCAAACGTACATTTACTTTAATGTGTAACAGATGAGCTGCAGTTTCACATCAAGAACGTCTCAAACATAAAACCATCAGTTTATCAAGCAGCTGCAGAGTTAAATTTTAAAAGTTTAAAACAGAAATTATCTTTAACTGTAAATATTTACACTTTTTGATTCAGAACAATTTAAACACATCCTGGTTGTTTCAGTTTGATTAAAATGTTTTCTGAAAAATCTAAACTTCTCTGATCTGATCTGGTTTCTTCAGTCGAGTTGTTTTTTTGTTTCAACCATCTGTGCAGAAAGTTTGTGTTGAATAAAGGGGAGATGTGTGAAACTGAAGCTTCTGGTCAAACAAAGTGAGAAAACAAAGAGTTGGGCGACTTTATGTCGAATTTTACTGAACAGCTGAAGTTTTTAAACCAGCAGAGGAACAACCAGTTTGACTCAGTTTCTTCTTTAAATTAAAGATATTTGTGGATTTAGATCAGCTGGCAGACAAAGAGCTTTGAATTAAAAAAAAATCAGATTTGATCTCAGCTACTAGAACAACTTTTAACTCAATATCTGTCAGTTTGAGTTTTAGTTATTTATGTTTGCTAAATTTAGCTTTGGCAGCCATCTTGAAATCAAATTGCCTCCAACGCTTACAGAAGCTTAATCAGAATTAATTTATTGATTCATGGGATGTTTTTCTAACAGTATAAACACAAAAATATCACTTCAGTAAAGCTTAGTAAAATTGGTATTTTTATTATATAAAGTTGCTTTTCTCAGTTCGCCCAATAATTTTGTCTAAAATTTAAAGTAAATTTGTTATAATTTTATTATAGAGGGAGTTTTCGAGGCAGCTGAGTTTTTATTTTGCGTTTTGTGAAGTTTGAATTCTTGGTTTCCGTCTGACGGCAGATTGAAGGTGAAGTCTGCTCAGGACTGGTGGTTTATTTGATGTGTTGGTTCTGAACCCCGAGGCGTCAGTCAGTCTGTCGACTCCTCGGTTCTGAAACGACGAGCGGAGGATGTTTTGTTTAAAGTGCGACATTTCACACAAAAACACGACTTTACCTGAAAGAATAAAATCTGGATTCATCTCCTGGTTTGAGACGAAAAAACGTCAGAAAAATCAGTTTGAACTGAAGGAGTTTCCTTTGAACTCTATAAAACACTCACTTCCCAAACAGACACAATAAAACCTGCATGAATAATAAAATTTATCCTTTCAAGTAAAAATAAAGCATATTTTAACAGAACTCCCTACATGGCCCAGAGTTTGTATCGGACTGATGATTCAGAACCAGCATCAAGAAACGTGACTCAGAAGCAGAAATTCAATTTAAAAACAATCACACCAAATAGTTTGAGTAATCCTCATCAGCTTTGATCATTTTTCATCAATGTTTCAGATGTTTTTGTACATTTAATGAACCTCAGATAAAGTGTGTGCGTACATGTCTTTATTGATGTGTGTTTATGAGGGTATTTTCACATTATATGGACACTGGACTGGTTCACACAATAGAAAAAACAATTGTGCGTCAGGGGTTAGGGCTAAGATATGAGATGAGTTTAGGTTAGTTTTAAGGTATGGTTAGGCTGTAGAAATGACCAGTAAATGAATGGAAGTCAATGCAAAGTCCCCATGAGGATAGAAGAACAAATATGTGTGTGTCTATGTTTGTGTGGTGCTGTACGATTTAACAGGTTTGTTTTTGTTGCAGGTTCCAGTGATGTCAGGTCTGACGACATGTAAAAATGTGTCCACACCCAGAGGTCAAAGGTCAGAAAATCAATATTTTATCACACAGATGTTATTCCCCTGACCCAGATCCTAACCTGGGATTTAAAGAGTCTTTAGCAGCGAAACACAAAACACCAGAAGTCAGTTTCCTGTCTCGAACGCTGAAGAGAAAAAAACTTTTAACATTGTGCATAGTAAAAGCCACAAAACACAGAAAGTTGTTGTTTTTATAGTTCTGTGCGAAGAGGATGCAGGAGAAAGAAACCCACAAAACAACACGCCGATCAGATCACGCTTTCTTCCCAAAATATGTCAAAATCTTCACAAAAACAAGCAAAAACACAAGTTCTGATCCAGAACAGAAACTGTTCTGTTTCTTTAAGTGACGCCAACTTCCTGATTCTGGTCAATCCAGAAATCTGCTTTCACTGACAAAAACCCAGGGAGGAAATCCTTGAACCACTGCAGAGGAAACAACAATCAATTTGTTGCTGCAGCTCTCATTGCACTCACCGCTGGAATGTCTGTTAGCAAAATATCATGAACCACCAGTTGGAGTTTAATCAAACTTTCAGGATGTGATAATCAGATTCAAGGCTCTCATCAACATTTAGAAGAAACACAATACAAAACAGTACAACAGCAGATCAACATGAACCAACATAAAGAACATAAACTGAGTGATAGCAGACAGCATCATGCATATCTCACAGACTGCACAATGTCACCATACAGACTGCACGATGTCGCCACACAGACTGCACGATGTCACCATACAGACTGTATGATGTCACCACACAGACTGCACGATGTCACCATACAGACTGCACGATGTCACCATACAGACTGCACGATGTCACCATACAGACTGTATGATGTCACCACACAGACTGCACGATGTCGCCACACAGACTGCACGATGTCACCATACAGACTGTATGATGTCACCACACAGACTGCACGATGTCGCCACACAGACTGCACGATGTCGCCACATAGACCGCACGATGTCACATCACAGACTGCACGATGTCGCCACATAGACCGCACGATGTCACATCACAGACTGCATGATGTCACATCACAGACTGCATGATGTCACATCACAGACTGCACGATGTCGCCACATAGACCGCACGATGTCACATCACAGACTGCATGATGTCACATCACAGACTGCATGATGTCACATCACAGACCGCACGATGTCGCCACACAGACTGCACGATGTCGCCACACAGACCGCACGATGTCGCCACACAGACCGCACGATGTCGCCATACAGACCGCACAATGTCACCACACAGACTGCACAATGTCACCACACAGACTGCACCATGTCACCATACAGACTGCACAATGTCACCACACAGACTGCACAATGGCACCACACAGACTGCACAATGTCACCACACAGACTGCACCATGTCACCATACAGACTGCACAATGTCACCACACAGACTGCACAATGGCACCACACAGACTGCACGATGTCACCACACAGACTGCACGATGTCACCACACAGACTGCACAATGTCACCACACAGACTGCACGATATCACCGCACAGACTGCACAATGTCACCTTTCAGACTGCACGATGTCACCACACAGACTGCACGATGTCACCATACGGACTGCACATTGCTACCATACAGACTGCATAATGTCACCACGATGTCACCACACAGACTGCACGATCTCACCATACAGACTGCACAATGTCACCACACAGACTGCACAATGGCACCATACAGACTGCACAATGTCACCACACAGACTGCACAATGTCACCACGATGTCACCACACAGACTGTATGATGTCACCATATAGACTGCACAATGTCACCATACAGACTGCATGATGTCACCAAACAGACTGCACGATGTCACCACACAGACTGGACGATGTCACCATACAGATTGCACGATGTCACCACACAGACTGCACAATGTCACCATACACACTGCACAATGTCACCACACAGACTGCACGATGTCACCACACAGACTGCATGATGTCACCACACAGACTGCACGATGTCACCATACAGACTGCACAATGTCACCACACAGACTGCACGATGTCACCATACAGACTGCACAATGTCACCACACAGACTGCACAATGTCACCATACAGAGTGCACGATGTCACCATACAGACGGCACGATGTCACCATACAGACTGCATGATGTCACCACACAGATTGCACGATGTCACCACGATGTCACTACACAGACTGCACGATGTCACCATACAGACTGCACGATGTCACCACACAGACCACACAACGTCACCACACAGACAGCACAATGTCACCACACAGACTGCACAATGTCACCACACAGACCACACGATGTCACCACACAGACTGCACGATGTCACCATACAGACTGCACAATGTCACCACACAGACTGCATGACGTCATCACCACAGAGCCGCATGACATCATCATCACGCAGACTGCAAGGTTTGACCAAAACAAACTCATGGCAAGATCCCAGTCTGAACTCTGGTGGGTAAAATGGGTTTTTATTAATGTCAGACTTGTTGGTGAAAATCATCAGAACTTCTTCTTTTACTACACACCACCATGAAACAGGTGGTTTAACCTGGTTCTAATGCTGAGGACAGAACCACAAACTGTGGTTTTCTACTGACAGGTCATTCTAGAGATGACCTGAATATTTGATGATGCCTTTATTGTCATTGTTTGGAGCACAATGAAATTACATTGAAGAACACCCATTCAAGAAGACACACATGACAAAACATGGGGGTTTAGAGGGTGTTTGTCTGAAGCCATCAATGTTGTATGCACTTGTGTGAATATCTGAAGAATGAGTCAGAAGTATCCAAAAAAAAAGCCACAGTTCAGAATAATGATGTTGTTTGTGAATTCTGTGCAGAATATCATTTAATATTGTTAATAATAATAATAATAATAATAATAATAATAATAATAATAATAATAATATATCTGCGATTGGCCATGCCTGTATGATGATATATAAGTAAAAAGAGATAGTTAACTGGTTAAATTACAGCTCAGTCACCTCTAGAGGGATTTTGAACTCCACGGTTTGAGAGTTTAATAATAAAAATAAATAAACTGCTGTTATTCACAACAAACTTACCTCTTCTGACCCAGAAGAACAGAAACTTTACTTTCATCCCACTTCACTTTCATACTCTGCATGTTTTTCTCTCAAACTATGGTAACGATTTATTGTGTTAATCAAATGAAGAGACTAAATGAGGTATTTTATTTTAAATTAAATAAATCAAACCTCTTTATGTTCCTGCTCTTTACCAGACCTCTTTGTTTTTTTTAGGTGTTTTTCCAGCAGTGGAGCTTAAACAAACTTCTCCACATTAGCAGAGATGAGATAAAGAGGGCCGGACTTCCTTCTGGACCCATTAGGACCTCCGGTGGTTCTGCTCAGGGTGGCCCTTCGGGTCACCAGCAGTTCTAAGAGGTTCCTGTTCCTCTCAGTCCAGCACGATGTTCCACCTGCTCGTTCCTGCTCTCGTTCTCGGTGAGTTTCTGACTCAAAGTGAGACTTATAGTTTTAAATCTGCGGCGCTCAGAAGAGTCCGGTTTGTTTGTTTTGTGGCGGGAAAAGATGAAAATGAAAAGCTGAGAGTTTGATGTGTTGGACGTTAAATAATCGTCAGTTTCTGCAGGTGTGGCGGCGTCACAATCGGCCAACACCACAGAACAGCCAGAGGAAGTTCTAAAGAACCAAACTTTGACTGTTTACGCAAACAAACACAGTAAGTTCTTCTCTTTTTTAACTAATAAAACCTTCATTAAACACCATCTTTAATCTTCAGCACCTCTGTAACAGTTTGTTTTATTTAATCCAAGAAATAAGCCTTAAAACACTTAATTTAACAAAACAACCATAAAGGTTTAAAGTAACATTAGAACTTCTACTAATAATTAATGTATGATTTAAGGGAAGTTGTTTCTGTATCTAATATCAAAATGATCATTTTATCCTTAAAATTTTAAAACTATTCTTAAACCAAACAATAACTATTTAAATCAGCTATTCTGTCCAACAAATACTTCTTTACTTTATTTCTCAATAAATCTGATAAATGTTTAGATATTTTGTTTCAAAGTAAAATATTAAACATGTAAAACATTTAAAGACTAAAAC